GATCACTTGGGTTGTTACCAACATCTGGTGAAAATTTCATGTCATTAGCACCTCTGGTAATATATTTACTGAGAAAAATGGTGATGTGTTCAATACTTATTTTACCCGATTTATCTAAGTACTCTAATGCCTACGTTTACACACATTTATCCAACTTACCTTTCAGCAACACACATATCTCCACATACAAAGAGAGGGTAAGAACATCTGAGGTGAGGACGACGGAGAAGAGAAATGTACACCGAGCGTGCAGTTAATGGAGAAAAATACAATGATTAAATGGGACATCCATCTCAACCACAGCATGAAGCTAAAAAGGTGCTAAAGGAGCCAGGCGAGTTTAAAAAGAGCTGTTCTGTCTCTCATCTGATCATCAGGGAAAATTCTTTTTAGACAAAAGGAATAAAACCAGCTTTATGTGGGCTGAAGAGGCCGAGGCAGCTTCAGGAAATGTGCTATCTGCTGGGTTCTTCCTGTGTCAAATACAAGGTCAGTCACCTGTCCCTCAGTAACCTCTTTCTTACATAAGATAAAAAAAAAAAAATATATATGTTCAAATTTATTGTGGGGTATTCCAGAAAGCAGGTTCAGTAAATTAACCCCGAGTTTAGGAAAACTGTGTTTTTCTTTTCAGAAAGAGAGGTCCGTGTTTCTACGAGCTCCCTCCCATCTAAAGATCTGACACAAAGACATTTTTAATCAATCCTACTGATATCAAAGTAGCCTGGCCCTGCCTTCCTACACAGTTCCACTCAATTCCAGTTTCTCCTCACTGCTCCGTCTGGGATTTCTCCCATAGACGAGGATTTCATTGGGAGCATTTTGTCTGGGCCTATCAAAGAACAGAACGTTGATTTTCTGTGCAGTGTCTGCTTGTAGTTTATTTTACCTGGACCAATCAGAGAACAGAACATCAATGTTCTGTGCAGTGTCTGCTTGTAGTTTATTTTACCTGGACCAATCAGAGAACAGAAGGAGGAGGAGTTTTCAACGACGTTGACTTTCTGTGCAGTGTCTGCTGGTTAGTTTAGCATACGGCAGTGGAGGAAGTGAATGAAGCCAGTCTGTGTTGATAAGGCTTCCAAATTAAATTAAATTTGTCCGACAAAGCAGCAGCTCTCATTTACAGTCGTCTCGTTCGGCTCGGTARWTTTCTCCTCTCAGTAGGGTTGTTTACAGCACACGCGATTTCCGGTTAGCTTCTTAGCTTAGCCTCCTTCACAACGACACACACACACACACTTCAGCAGAGGCCACGCCTCCTGCAAGAATCACTTCTCTATGCAGCGAGTCCAGACCCTCGTACAAAGCAAAGTGAAGGACAGGGGTCTGGTTTTTACCAGGCTAATATCAAAGCAGAATTTTATAAAAACTGATGTTCAACGAAATAAATCCAATTAATGTTATAAACATCAGGGATGTGAGTGACTTCCATCACAACCGATAATGAACCAGCCAGCTTTTATGTACTATGTATATAATTTTATTATTTTTGACATTTGTCTCTGATGGATCTTCCTATTTTGTTGTAGTGTAAAGCTTGTGTGAATGTGTTAGTCATCACCACTACTTGTTGAAAATGAATTGCCCTTCGGGGACCTCCATCCTTCCATCCATTATCTATACCCGCTTCTTCCTTCCAGGGTCACTGGTGCCCATATCCGGCACTCACAGTGCGAGGGGCGGGGGACACCCTGGACAGGTCCATCACAAGGACACATAGAGACAAACAACCATTCACTCTCTCACTCACACCTAGGGACAATTTAGAGTTACCAATTAACCAGACAGTACCCAGAGAGAACAGGCAGACTCTACTCAGAAAGGTCCCCGGGCCAGGATTAGATCCAACAACCATCTTGCTGAGAGGCACCAGCTCTTCCATCGTGCTGCCCTCCCTTCAAAGTCCTAAGAGAATTTGAGTTTCCTCAGGTCTTTTTTTTTAGGTTAAAACATTTATTTTTGTTTTTCTGGAACATTTTATTTTTAATTTGGGAGGTAGACTATCTGTTCACAGAACTTCAAGGCAACCTTATGTTTAGTCTGTTTAAGGACGCTAACTGTCATGAAGGACTTTAATATAAGTTGCCACTACAACACGTTACACAAAGCTAAATGAGAGGTTTAATGAAGTCACAAGTACATCAACACTTTTTACCAGAACCACAACCCTGCAGGAGTCTGCACTCAAGACTTTTAACGCTGTAACACTTCAGCTAGCTAAAGTACAGTTAGTACATTTTTTAGTTACTTCAAAACATGTCTTTTTGTTTTATTAAACAAAAGTACCACAGTTATACATGCATTTCAACATGAAATACTTAAAGTTACTGCACTGTATGTTGGTTTAATAAAAACATCTATATACATAAACATTTATAAAAGTGGCAGTTTTATTATGTTTTAATATTTGGGTAAGTGTGCAGCTCTATGTGGCCCTCTGGTAGTGTCTATAAAACACTGTGGCCCCTTCCATCATTCAAGCTGCCCATCTTTGGCCTACAGGAACTGAGATTCCGGGACAAACTGAAGAACTTAGCTGCGCTGTGACATCATCTCTTCAGATAAACTGAGAACTCAACATGTTTGGTGTTTAGAAACGACCCGACTCGGTTTGTTCCTGTGGTGGTTATGGTGAACTGAGAGATCGGAGCTCAAAAGATGATGGTTTTTACATCACAGTAAAGAAACTTCAAGTTATTTAACTTCAGTATGACCAGTCTTTCTGAAACTGAAAACCCAGTTTCCCTCAAGCTTAAGTTAACTCAGAGTTCGTGGATAAACTCAGTTTGTTAAAGCTTCAAAAAGAAAAAAGTTGGTCCTCTGGATGGGTTCTTCTTTAGTGAAACATTTTCTCTCTCCTCCAAGAGAATTCTTCAGTCTGATGAGTTTCAGGTGAACTCAGTCTTATAAGCACTGCCTCCACATGGTGGACAAACAGGTTAGTCACATGCAAAAGAGGGCCATCGCCTAACAATAGGCTTGATTAGCTCTATTGTTCATAGAGGGTCATGTGCCCCATCACCTGACTTATTGGTTTGGATGCTTCGGCTGTGGTTATTTGGTGTTGTGTCATGTGAATGTAGTGAATGCAAGCGGGGTTCAAGGTCCCCTTGTTTTTCTCTCTCTTTCTCTCTTTGTATTGGCATCATTGGGGTCCTGATTCACACCTTTTGCTCACAGGGGGCGGAGTCATACTTACAATAACAGCGTTGTAGGAGGAGGACAACTGGACACGAAGGCCTCCACCTCTGTTTAATGGTGGATGGTTTTTCTTCACAAAGATGGCTTCCTTTACTCCTCTCAAACCAACGTTCCTCTCTATCAAAGATGAGAGCATCTTCATCCCCGAAAGAGTGACAGCTGGCCTGTAGGAGAGTGTAAACTGCAGAGTCCTGACCCGTAGGTGAGTGTAAACTGCAGAGTCCTGACCTGTAGATGAGTGTAAACTGCAGAATCCTGTCCTAAAGATGAGTGTAAACTGCAGAGTCCTGACCTGTAGATGAGTGTAAACTGCAGAA